TCGTGAAAGGAAAATGTGATTGCCTTCCTTGGAGAGCTAAATAAATGCTGCTAAATTTTATGCAGTCTTATATAATGTCTAGCATATGGGTGCTAGAAGATGATTGGATTATGTATTTTGGAAAGGACACAGAATATTTAAGAGGATAAATGTGGTAAGTATGCCCTTGGGTCAACTGTGGTTCAGTGATTTATGCCTGGAAGAAAAGTCCCACACAAACAGGTTCGCTAATAAGGCTAAGTGGAGCTGAAGTTGACTTCTGGATTAGGGAATAAAACACTGTTGCCAGGCATGGTGGCTCTGTAATCCTGGTGCTTGGGAAACCAAGACAGAACTGTGAATCTGAGGTCTGCATGAGCTACACAGTGAGATCTGTTTCGAACAGAACAACACTCAAAAAGGAGCTGGCACTAGAAATCGAAGGCTGGAAGTCCAGCTCAATGATGGAGCCTCAGCTTGCCTCATGTGTGAGTCCCTGTGGTTAATCCCCAGGCCATAGCACAACCCTTTCTCCTCCAAACAAAACAGACATGCATGAATGTGAATACTTTTACAGAGCAAATATAAACACTTTAAGTTATTTTAAAGAATGCTTTGTGATGTGAGGGGTTATCAAGAAAAACATGCTTGCTATATAAAGAACTTAAAGTTAAGCAGCATAGAAATTTATATGGTAAAAGTAAATTGTCCCCTTTTCTGCCATTACTCCTACCACACAGATGCTATTGTTAACTTAGCCTTCTAAAGATGTTTCTGAACCTGGGTGAACATATCAGATAGTTTTTGTCTTAGTTTCATGTATACGTACATACATACTACGGAAATCTTTTTCTATAATATGTATCTTCTCTAATGATAATGTATTAGAACATGGCATGCTGTGTTTCACTGCCCTTACTGGGTTATCTGGCCTCCTCTTGTGGACCCTTTACTCCTGGCAGCTACAGTTCTTTCTTTTTAATTATGCTGTGGCATAAACACTTTTGTCCTGGATGCTGATGTTTATGACAGGTTTTTGTGTATTTTAGCAAATTCAGAGGTAATAAACTGTTGTAACCATTGGTAATTATATTATCCAAAAACTCAAGTGTGTGCTCTGTCTTTTGAACTAACAGTATTTCTGTGAGTCTCTCTGAGGAAATACTTGAAGAAATTTGTAAACTCTATAAAGTTCAAGGATACACATTTTAAAGGAAAAACTATTTCTTTTTCTACTTAAGAAGGCATTAAATACCCTTAGAAAATTCAGCAAAGACAGCAGGTGTAAAGAAGCCCTGTCTTACCTGACATCCAGCTGCCTGAAGATGGTTAATTTTTTAATTGTTGCTAGTATATGTTCACCATTCTATTTCATATGCATAAATTTACACCATGCCCCTGAATATAGTCACCATACTTTTTCCATTCTGAATATGTTTCCATTTGCAAAGCTGTATTATTGCAAATGGTACTGAGTATTTCCTATTTATCTACACACAAGTATTTCTGTAGAACAGTCCTGAAAGTGGAATTGGGGAGCTACGTGTTTTAGCTTAAAGTAAAATAATTGGTGAACTTCATGTTTACTGGATAAAAATAATATGCTTTTCTTTATATGGAAATTTCTCTTAAAAATCTGGTGTGCAGTTTCTTTTTTCTTCCTTAGTGACATAGATTCCTTATAGTGCAGATTTGTCAAATGCAAATGGACTAGACATTGTTGATACTTATTGCTTATATATATTGTATATATTTATTGTATATAGTTTTTCTTATGTTAGTTGTAGCCTTCTTTTTGTATTGAACAAAAAGGGGAATTGTGGTGATGTATTATTTATGATTATTAAAGTTTACACTCAGGAGGCAGAGGCAGGCTGATCTTTGTGTGTTCCAGGCCAGCCTAGTCTACAAAGTGAGTTCTAGGACAACCAGGGCTACACAGAAACCCTGTCTCAGAAAAGTACAGGTAAAACTTCTTAGATAGTTACTCTGTAGCTTCACACCCTTTGTAGTTCTGCTTGCTGAGGGTCGCCTTTTCTGACTCCTCATGTTCAAACACCATCCCAGATAGAAGCTACCTCTGTTTTTAGACAGCTATTGGTTGCTGGAAAAATTTATTCTCATATCAAACTAAAAGATGTTGCTTTATAATTCCACAGTTACTTCTGCACCAGCACCACAGACAATGAAGCTACTTACTTGTTCCCAGTCTTTCCCCACTGTCCTGGCTTTTTTGTTTATTACCTTGACAAGCTTGAGTTATCTGGGAAGATTAACCTGAACTGAGAAAGTGCTTCCGTCAGATTGCCTATAGACAAAGTCTGTAGATATTTATTAATGATATGGGAGGAACCAGCCTTCTGTGGGTAGTGCCACCCCTGGGCAGGTGGTCCTGTGGTATATAAGAAAGCAAACTGAGCAATCATGTAAGTAGCATTCCTTCACAGCTTCTGTTTCAATTCCTGCCTCCAGGTTTCTGCCTTGAGCTCCTGCCCCAACTTCTTGCAGTGATGAACTGTGATGTGGAAGTGTAAGCCAAATAAACCCTTCACCCCCAAGCTGCATTTAGTCATGGTGTTTTATAACAGCAATGAAAACCTTAACTAAGACACCAATTTTCTGAGAGTAGCTATCAAATGTTGCTATTCTGTACTTTATAAGCCAGAGAGTTCACCCATCTATATCATATTACAATTTTCTTTGACTTTCTTAGCCTGCATTTTATTGCTCATGTAGTTTGTTGGTGTTGAGTTGCATTTTATAAGCAGACATTTATTTACACAGTAGCTATGGAATTTAGGTGCTCTCTTCTCAGTCTCTGTTTGGTACATTGGGATCTTGATTCTGAAAGTACAGCTTTGCATTTTCTTCATTAAATGTAATCTTCCTTGAATTAGCACATTGTTCTAGCTGTGGGTTCCCTTAGATCTGTAGGTTGGCAGGTCTCTGTTCTTGCAATTCCCACATTTGTAAGCTGTGGGTTTGATTAGTTCCTTCCCAGAGCTTTGTAAACTTTTTCACTCATGAGCCCTTTTTGCCTGAGAAAATTTTATGTGACCTTAGTTAACTCTTGTAGCTATATAAAATAGGTTTATAATCAAACATTTGCTGTTAAATAATAAGTATAAATCATAAGTATATTTAAATTTTTTAAATTTAGTTTTATTTTATAAGTATGGATTTTTTGCCTGTATATATGTCTGAGTACCACATGTGTGTAGGCAGAAGAAGGCATCAGATCCCTTAGGACTAGAGTTACAGATGGTTTTGAGCTGTTATGTAGGTGCTGGGAATTGAAACAAGGTCTTTGGAATAGCAGCCAGTGCTCTTAACCACTGAACCATCTCTCTGGCCCCATAATCATAATTTAAGAATTCTTTGCTGTACATATAACCTTAATCATCTATTAAAGATAAAAGCAAATTTTATACTAATGAGATGAGTGTGCTTATTTTATTTTTTACATAGAAATTTAAATCTTGGCCAAATGTTTAACATATGGGCACAGCATCTTCAATGTTGTTAAGAGTTGATTGATATTTTGATTTTATAACCAGTGTTGAGAATGTCGCTTTGCATAAGTACACAGTGTAAATGTCAAGGCTACTTTTTAGGGCCACTTCAAAAACTGCTGGAAAGTCTGTCATAGGCTCAAGCCAAAAATTACCTAAATTTATTTATTTGTTTTAGGAATTAGTCAGCAACTCAAGTACCAGTGCACTCCACAGATTTAATAGTCTGGTATCTATGGGCTGTGGAATGATGATGAGAAAACACTTAAAAAGTCATTCTTTTTCTATTATTAGAGGCAGCTTTGTGGAAGAGCAGTGAGTGCAAGTGTGCACTTTGGGTTAGAACCAAGAGTGTAGTGAGAGCACGTGACTTTGCTGCAGGAAACACCTCAGACTTGTATGCCTCAGATTTTGGATTAAGGTTTCATGGTTGCATGTTCAGAACCTGTGTTGTTGACAGAGTTTTCATAACTCACATTCATTTAAGAAAATAGAAATACCTTGGTGTCAAAATTCTAATTCAACTTTAGACTGTAGACAAATCATTTTCCTAGTGGAACACTCATCTAAAATGTGTGAGGCCCTCATTTCAAATCCCAGCATGGCAAACAACAACCCTCCCTGCCCCTGAAATTATAACATTTAGCAGGTCTAATAGGCAGAAGGATCAGGAGTTCAAGGTCATCTGTCACTTCATAGCAAGTTCTAGGCTATGTGAGACTTTGTGTCAAAAAGGAAAAACAAGAACAAGAAAGAAAAGGAAAAATATTTTCTGTTTATCAATCATCAACTTATTAACACATTTCTCTTTTCCTCACCATGTTGTAGATTATTATACGTGTGTCTTTCTGTCTGATTTTTAACTTAATGGATCTAGAAACTGGATTATGGTTTGGAAACAATACTCATTAAGTCTGGGGAATGACTCAGTTCAAGTGTGCAAGCATGATCATGGACCTGAGTCAGGGTGCCCAGCACCCATGTAGAAAGAAGGTGTGGCAGTGCATTCCTGTAACTCCAGCACAAAGACTGGAGTGGGGAGGCAGCTGAGAAGAGCAGACACAGATTGTCCAGCCTGGGAGTGTCACTGGGAGACCCTGGCACAGGAAAGATACCTGACTCTCACAAGTACATGTGCCTGTACACCACACCCGCAAACCCATTCTAATGCTAGAATAACCCTGTATTTGTGATTCACCCATGGTTAATCTTTTCTCCATCAGTCTTTTAGGTCATCATTTTCCCTCACCAATAAGCTTTTTCAGAATCTGTCATTACTTTGTAAGGATTAGTTCCAGATCTAAAATCTCAAGTTCAAGGCTGTGCATGTTTTAAATATTGGATTACTTTAATTGATAGATGATACCAAAATAACACGGAGGGTCTGGCCCTTTCTTGTCTTTTGTGCTAATGCTGTTTTTGATTTGTTTTTGTTTTTGTTTTTGTTTTTTTCTTTGTGCTCTGAATTGGATCATTAAGTCCTTTTTTGTTTTAACTTTTACTCCCCAGGTTCAAGCCATACTTGAATTTTACATTCACAAACTTTGTAAGTGTTCTCTTGGACATTGGCAGCTTGTGATGCTAATTTAGTTGTAGGGTAGGGGAATGGAGGAGGGGACCCTGACTAGTCTATTTTCAACTTTTGCTGTTTCTTCTTGTAATATATATTTTTTTCAGACACCTTTTTTAACTGGAGTATGTAGCTGTTGCTTAGGGTCTCAACATCTTATCACTTAGATTATCAATAGGATTGTACTTTAGCTAGTTCTTTTAGTTTTAAAAATAATGATTCTCATACTAACATTTTATAGGCTAAAATATGGAGTCTTTTTACCTGTTTCTTTTTAGCCCCCCTCACATTAATCAACAAAAACTTATAGGACTTCCACCAGATCAGCTTTAATTTAAATCTGCTACTTACATATTAACTACTTTATCTTTTTAAAAAATGTTAAGTGGAGTCTGAACATTAGTATGTCTTTTTTCAAAAAATAATTTATTTAAATTTATTTTATGTGCATGAAATTACAGATAGTTGTGAGCTGAGAATTCCAGGTCACCTCAAAGAGCAGCCAGTGCTCTTAACTGCTGAGCCATCTCTTCTACCCCTAGTATGTCTTAAAACAATGTACTTTATTAATTATCACGGCCTGAGTGTCAAATACCTATTTAAACATATGTAAATAGAGAGGGGGAAAACCCAGGCATGCCACCCATGGTACCTATATGTGCCATGTCCAGAGTGCTTAAACTGTACAGATGCTGTTGATGTTGTGGAACACATGCTCTTTGCTGTATGTATTTTACAACTGTGTCTTATTTCATTTATTTAAGATCTGGACGTTGGTAGTTGGCTATGTGCTGATGGTTTCATTCAAGTGGAATGCAAACACTGAACGCTACTTGAGAGCAATTTCAATTCCTGTCTGGATGATACTGCTTTTTCATATAGGTGGGTCCTTCTTCTTCGTAGAACCATCGCCCAATAACTGTGGTTGAGGTCAGTAGAGGCTGACCAATGAAAGTGAGTTCTTTGTAGTGTTATATGTTGCATTTAAAATTCTTCAACATAATGTATCGAAAATGTTGAATTTAAGATTTCACTAATCATCAGTGAAGATACTCTGCTTTCAAATGTTGATCTTTAAGTTCCTTACTCATTCTTTTAGAAAGTCCTTGAAGAGTATAAGTGCTTCAATCTGCAGCTGTGTGACCCTTTTGCTCATTTTGCTTGTAGCAAACTTGGGGAGGAGATAGATAAGCACCTAAGGATAAGAGGCGCTTGGTCTTGTTGAAGAACTGGAGAAGATTTTTACTTTAAGAGGAAGGGCCTGGGACAGGAATGGGGGAGGACATTGGGCAAGAAGACTGCATGAAATACGAAAACCACTTCCATCCTGTGGAAGAGTGACTTAAGCAGATCTATGATCATGAGGGAGAGATGCCAGAACTTCAGGAAACATTAGGAAGGCAGTTCACTGCTCAGCAGAGATGCTTGATGTCAGGGCAGGTCAGAGTCATGAGTTTCTGTGAAGCAGCTCACTGTTAGCTGGGGGTGATGGTGATGGTGGTGATAGTGCTGCTGCTGCTGCTGCTGCTGCTGCTGCTGCTGCTGCTGCTGCTGCTTAATACTCTTGAATAGCTTTTCAGCATGACTCACATGATTGGGCAAGACATATTTTTGAGTTGATGGGAATAATAAGTTCTAATTTAAACACAAAATAATTGAGCAACCTAGAGCAGCAGGTAGCCGAAAGTAGCTTTTAGAATTAACCCTTTTTTTGTAAGTTACCTGCCTTCCCACCAAGAAAGCAGCAGTTAAATTCAGCTGACTGAAACTGTCTCAGTTCAGGGTTTGATTTTAAGAGGGTAGTACTCTGTAGGTTTGTTGAGTAGGCCATGAGGTTTATCTGCCCCTGCAGAAGGGAGTCTCATGTGACCTCAGGGAAGACAGATGCTTGGGGACTTAACTGTGTACTGTGGGAGCTTTGGCTGCAGCCTTTGTGTTTGTTGGGCTCCTTTCTGATACTGAGTTTAAGCCTAGTGCCATTTTCAGAAAGTTAGGCTGGCTTCTGGTGCCTGACTCTGTTTGTACTAGTATCAGGTGCTGCATAGGTTGAACTTGAGTTTGGGGTGACCTGAAACCTGTGAGGGGTATCTATGGGGGTTCTTGTAATGGACTAGGGAGTAGCCTCTTAAGGGTAGGCTGGCACATGCCATGTTCCTTTGAGAGCAAGAATGAAACTGTCCTTGAGTTGAAGTTTACCTTCAAGAGCCTTTTAATAACATTTCCCCTAGGAAATAATTTCTTAATTAGCATGTATATCAGATTGCTCTGTTAACTAAAAATGTTAATTCTTAATAATTTTCAGCATCACTGGCTGGCTCATGGAGAATCCCAGTGTTCCTGGTTATTGTTTTCCTGATGTCTGTGGGCACCCTTTATGAAAAACAGAATGGGAAGGAGTCTGCTGGTAAGAAATAGTCTATTGTGAATATATTCTTAGTACTTTGAGAAGATGCCTGTCTCTATTGCTATGATAAGCACCATGACCAAAAGCAACTGAGAAGGAAAGGGTTTCATCTTATGACTCTCAGGTCAAAGGTCACACTCCATCACAGAGAAGTCAGGATAGGAACTCAAAGCAGAAGCTGATACAGAGACTAGTGAACTGGCTTGCTATTCATGGCTTCTCAGCCTGCTTTCTCATATAGCACCTAGGACCACCTGCCCAGGAATCACACCCCACAGCGACCTGCCTCCCACCCCATCATCAATCAGGAAAATATACCACAGGTCAGTCTGGTGGGAGAATTTTTTCAAGGTTCTGTCTTCCCAAACAATTCTACTTTATGCTAAGTTGATATAAAAAAAAAAAAAAAAAAAAAAAAAAAAAAAAAAAAAAAAAAAAAAAGCGCCAAGGCCAAATGTCTTTGAATATATTTAAAAACCTGAAGTAGTTTCCCCAGTGCTGTGTACCCATCATCTCTATCTAGTTTGACAATATTTTTTTATCACTCTGAATGGAAAACCTGTACATGGATTCCAGCATACAGATATAATGCATTCTGTTTGCCTGTTATTCTTTCACAGATGTTTGGGTTGTTTTTACCTTTTGGGTATTGTGAATAGTGTTGCTGTGAAACATTTATGTACAAGAAGCTATTTATTCATTTAAAAACATAGTGTACATATTACAAGGTGCCATATAATGCTCCAGTGTATGTATGCCATTCGAATTTTGAATGTGCATCTTAGAGCAGGATTCCTGGGTCATGGTAGTTCTATGTTTAACAGGAACCATGAGACTACTTCCAGGGCAGCTCAGCAGCTTACACTCTTACACCCTTAATAATGTTTCCTGATAGCTTTTTTTTTCTTCTAAGATTTATTTTTTTTATTATGTGCACAGTGTTCTACTTGCATGTATACCTTCACACCAGAATTATAGATGGTTGTGGGAATTGAACTCAGGACCTCTGGAAGAACAGCCAGTGCTCTTAACCTCTGAGCCACCTCTCCAGTCCCTGATTGTTCTTGATAGCACCAATCCAGTATGTGTGAAGTGGTGTCTTCCTGTGGGTATTCTAACTGGTGGTGTGAGCATCTTTTTATAAATCTGCTGGCCATTTGTTTATCTCTTTGGGGAGATGTCTGTTTATACTCTTTGATCTTTTAAAAATTAGGTTGTCTTTTGTTTCTGAGTTACTGAATTCTTTAAATATTTTGGATACTGAGTAGATACATACTCTATAAATAGTTTCTTCTATGGGTTGTCAGATTCTTTTGACAGCTTCCTTTTAATTTAAATTTATATTTAAATTTTTTTATTTTTATTTTTAGGTATGTGTATCTGTGTGTGAGTTTGTGCATGTGAGTTCAGGGCTCAGAGAGGCCAGAAGAGGGCATCAGATCTCTCGGAGCTAGAGTTACAGGTGGTTATGAGTACCCTGAACTTGGGAACTGAATTTGGATACTAGAAGAGTAGTACATGTTCTTAATTGCAGAGCTGTCTCTTCAGACACTTTTTATTTTTAAATCCCAATCTTTGTAGTTTTCTTTTGTGTTGTCATAATCTAACAAATCATGGATGTATCCAAGCTATGAGTATTCCTTGTTTTTCTTTCAGAATTTTATATTTTATCCCTTATATTTAACTCATTGATCAGTTTTCAGTTGCCTTTTGGATGTAGCATGAAGAGTCCACCCTCTCTCTTGCATGTTTGATTTCTAGTTTCTCCCAGCATAAGTTGCTGAAGTTTTTTTTCTTTATTTGAGTGGTCTTGGTACCCTTGTGCAGAATCAATTGAACATGGATGTGTGGGTTTATGCCTATACTTTTGTTCTCCCTTGACTTTGGTGTTTTTCCTTATGTCATTGTTTTGATGAGGCAGGAGTGTGAATTCTCTAGCTTTCTCTTTTTTCCAGACTGTTTTGGTTCCCTTCATTTCCATGTGAGTTTTAGGACAATTCTTTTTTTTTTATTTTCACATAATAGTCTCTTGGGATTTTGATAAGATTGTTGAATTCGGCCAGGTAGTGGTGGTGCACACCTTTAATTCCAGCACTTGGGAGGCAGAGGCAGGCAGATCTTTATGAGCTCAAGGCCTGATTGGTCTACAGAAATAGTTCCAGGACAGCCAAGATTACACAGAGAAACCCTGTCTTGGGGGAAAAAAAAAGATTGTTGAATTCGTAGGTACTTTGGGGAACATTGCATTTTTTCTCTCTCTCTTTTACACCCCCCCACACACACACCCCATAATTAACATCCCAGTTTATGAGTATGGAATGCATCTCCATGTATATTATTCTTTAATTTCTTTCAGCCATAATATTTGTGTTTTCAATGTTTAAATGTTGTATCTTCTTGGTTTAATTTATTCCTGATTATAAATGAAATTTTTCTGAGTTTCCATTTTGTATGATTCATTATTAGCATAAAGTTAGAACTATAACATTTTTTTGTGTTATACTGATACTGTACCCTTCATCTCCGCTGAATTTGTTTCTTGGCGTCAGTTTAGCTAAGGATTTTTTTTAAAGATTTTATTTATTATATATATAACATTCTGCCTCCATGTATTCCTGCACACCAGAAGAGGGCACCAGATGACATTATAGATGGTCATGAGCTACCATGTGGTTGCTGGGAATTGAACTCAGGTCATCTGGAAGAGCATTCAGTGCTCTTAACCTTGGAACCATCTCTCCAACCCACTAGCTAAAAATTCTTAAGTAATGCTTTCTTTTTTAAAGGTGTGTGTGTGTGTGTGTGAGAGAGAGAGAAAGAGAGAGAGAGAGACAGAGAGAGAGAGAGAGAGAGAGAGAGAGAGAGAGAGAGAGAGAGACAGACAGACAGAGACAGACAGAGAGACAGAGATACAGAGAGAGACAAAGGCAGAATATGAATGCCACAGGTGTGCAGGAGCCCTTGGAGGCTGGAAGGGCATGTCAGATCCCCTGGAGCTGAAGTTTCAGGCAGTTATGAGCTGTCTGACATGATTGCTGGAAAGCGAGCTCTTGCCTTAGTGCTTTTGACTCCTGAGCCATCTCTCTAGCCCCTTAACTAATTTTCTGTGCTGCTTTGGATGTTCCCACCCCCCCTTGGGAACACAGTCTTGATGTATATAGCTCAAGGCTGGTTCTCCAATACATTACTGCACAAAAACCACAAAAATTCCCTGTTGTCACACATGTGTTAGGCATATACCAAGGATGTCCTTCTGTCTTTCTGTGTCAGTGAACATACGTCTACAACATTATTTTTAGCATTTACTCCAGTCACAGCAGTATGTGGCACTCTTGTACAGTGATCATATGTCTTATGAAAAACTTTTTTAGATTGTTTATATTCTATTTGGTGAGTGTATCTGATGACTGTAAGATTTCTTTTCTTTTTTGAGACAAGACCTCATTGTGTAGCTCTAGCTATCTGGAACTTACTACATAGACCAAACTGGCTTTAAAATAACTACAAAGAACCATAGTTACAGATCTCTCTAACAGTGGAAAATCAGGAAGATTTTATTTCCTGTTTTGCTGTCTTTCAGTCTCCCGTCGTGGATTGTCTTCTGTCAAGATGCTTGAGCCCCAGGACTGTGTGGAAGGCTGGAGTAGTATAGTGCCTGGTGACTTCCACTTGTCCTGCTTGGTTTTACCTTCTTGTTCCTTTCTCCAGGGGTCAGTAAAGCAGACAGCTCTAGGTACCCTTCTCCCTCATCTGAGTTAGCTTCCCCTCCAGCTGCTCTGGTATCTGGTATAGCGTTAAGTCCAGTTAGCTTTATGTTTCTACAGGTTTCTTGTATGTGGATTCAACCATCTGAAAATGGAGGCTATTTTAGGAAAAATGACTTCTGTATTGAATATGTAAAGACTTTTTTTTTCTTGAAATTTTACATTATAATACAATATTACCATAATTATGTGGCATTTACATTTTAGATATTCTGATTAATCTAGAGAAGGTGTAAGTGTATATGAGGATGTGCATAGGTTATGTGCAAACATTTTCATTTTAGAAGGGACTTGAACATCCACAGATTGTTATATATAGGAGGTCAACAACTGTTCTGTGGTGCTGAGGGCTTCCTGTGTATGAGTAATACAGATATCCACTAAAGAATTTCAGGCCCTCCTTCCCTGCCCAGGTGTAAATGCTAGTCACCCAGTTAATGGCACTTAGAGAACGCTGAGAACAAGAACTTAGGACCAGGTTTTGAGTGTGTGGGGAAAACGAAACTAAGGTCAATTATTATTGTGAGCTATCAACCGAGACTAAGGTGTTGGTGTGTCATTCCATTCTGTTTAGGTTATTGACTCTCAAGGAAGGAGAAAGAATGAATGAAGAGAACATCTTTGAAAACAGTGATCTTCCTGTTTTGTCTACTCTTTCCTGCATCAAAGAAGGTCACTGTTGACTTAGAACTCTCTCCATCACAAAATAGAGCTCTTGAGTGCTTTTCTAGAGAACTAGATGTTTTTTCTTCATGTTCTTAGTATTCTCTATAAATCAGACTGAAACCTTCTAGACTACGAGGGGGTAGCCCTCCTTCATGTTCTGTTTCCTCCTCGAGGCGGTGCTGTTATATGGTTGTTACAGGAATGCTGCTATGAACTGCCTCTGCAGGGCCTGTTCTGATCCTTGCCTGTTCTTGAACTTTGTGATGTCACCTGGGTGAATGGCTTCCTTTGCATCATCTGGGCTGGTTTAGGAGCTTTGAGATCCATAACTCACGTACTCTCATAGAATTAGGCTTCTGGATTTCATTAGAATTGAAAGCCTAAGTTTGTTTGGTTCCTGGGCCCAGACTGAGTTTATTTCAACAGTTCCCTCTAAACGCAGGGAACTGGACTTTTGGGCCCGGGGAACTCTTGGGTGGTGTTTCCTGGAATGCTAAATAGTGTAGGGGGAAAATGTATTTTCCCACTGGATAAGAACTTTTTGGGGTACTTTTAAATTTTATTTATATA